GGTTTAAGAGACTACGAGAGATTGCGAGAAAAATTGCCGATTTTAGGCCCAATTTGGGGGAGTTGGAACCTGGACTAAGATTGCGGCGTTTCGCCCGAGGACCTTTCGTGTGGGGAAAACATGAAGATGCCCATCTAGAGGACGAAAAGGGCGCAAAAACGGGAAAATTTGGGCGATGTTCACATTAAAACCGCTGTTGCGCCCGAACCAGGCTTTTAGGCCAAAAAATGCCTTCTGGGTGAAACGTTCCCAAACAAACGCCCCAAAAACCATCCGGGCGCTTTCCCGCCTTCTAAATAAGCCAATTAAGCGAGCAGATTCAATCAAAATGCGTGTAAATTAATAGCAGGGGGGTCACTGAACCGCAAGGCCGTGGGGCGCCAGTGGCGCGCCCCGCCATCGCGCAAAAAGCCCCCAGCAAGGCCAGAAAAGCCCCGGCCTGACCCACTTTGGTGTTAACAACCTGGCAGCTTCGCTATTTCCACGTGAAAAGGCCAGAGCGAAAAAACGGCTGACCGCAGCCAATCAAACGTTTCGATTTCAATTGGACGGTTCATTGTGCTGGCAGCCTTGGGCTATGGGGGACCCGCGCTCACACGCTTCGGGCACCAGCTGGGAACCCATGAAATGTGGCAACTGCGTCCGGCACCCAATGGAGATTGAAGATGGATTAAAGCCAAAGCAGGCAAACAGCCGCCTTCTGGCTGGGGAAACCATCCAAGCAAAGTTCACACGGGAGAAACTGAGGGGAAACTTACCATTGCGCGGGTTCTCGATGGGGTGGCGGCGAGTTTTCGCGAGGGAAACTGGGGAAACTCACTAGTGGGCTGGCGACGCCCAAGCCGAACACTGAGCCGTGACTGGTCGGGTACCCGATTTTACATGCAAATTCCTGACATGCCAGCCAGCAGCTATCGGGTCTGGGTTCAAGACTCTATGGGTCAACAGGACGCTTTGTCTGGGCAAGAAGAGGCCGGTAAGGGACAACAAACTGCTTTAATCTTGGCCGATTGGCGTCACTTCCACTCGAATTGGGCTTAAAATCTAGCTATCGCGGCAGGCTGCACTTCGACTTGGGTTCCACCTGAAAAACCGAGGTTAGAACCGCACAACTGCGCCGAAAGGGGGCCCACCTACCCGGGGGCCGCCGAGCATCCGCTCCCTGATGGCCCAGCGCAGCTCGTCCCGCTTGTCCTGGCCGGGGATCTTCGTCCGCTTCCACTCCGCCTGGTAGTAGTGGTAGAGCGCCACCGGGTCGCACTTGTTAACCGGGGGCTTCGCCCCTGTGGGCCGGGTGACTGCAAAAAAGCGCCTTTGAGCTGTTTGGCCCCACTGGACGGTTTGCTTACATGTGACTTTGCGCTGGCTGCTCCCCTGGGAGGCCTCGCTTGAGTGCACGCAGTGCTCGTGCCTCGGGGGGCGCTTCTCCACTATATGCACTGAGATGTGCCGGGGGGGCGCCAGCCTCTCTTGCGCTGCCTGCGCATAAGCGCTCGCCCCCCTTGGGGCCTGGGGGCAGCCCTCGCTAGCCCCCCCGAACCTCTGGTCGTACTTCATCACCTTCTTCAGGTCTGCAAAAGCCCCAAATTAGCCCTGGGAGGTCTGCGACCCTGTGGGAGCCTGCCTACCTTTGAGGAACTCCTTCAGCTGCTGGGCGGTGATGTTGGTGTAGCCGAGCTGGTTGAGGTGCGCCAGCACCTCACGAGCCTCGATTTTTTCAGTCATTTCACCCAGAAAGCCCCAATTTAAAATAACGACCCCAGAACCTAACCTCACTGTCATTACGATGCGCAGCCGAAACCGCTTGGGCTGCGGGCGCTGTTGCCGGCCCGTCCAAGCTGCGCTTTTCGGGGAGTTTTCCTGCCCCCCAGCTCTACTGCTGCAGCCCGAAGGGCTTATGCCTTCATCCGGGGGATTTTTGTGGATTTTTCACAAATAGCCCCCAGCAGTTGGGGGCATCCGCCCCCTTGGGGCGCGGTGCTGTCCCCGCCCAATGTGCAACTGCAACGCCGCCACGAGACCACCGAAACCATGGCAGTGACAAAACAAAGCGCCGCGTACTTAACCCCAGAWGCACTGRGCCCCATTTTCGCGTCTAAAAGCGAGTTTTTCCCCACTTTCAGCTGCTGRTTGGTCCCCATTGGGTGCAGGTGAGTTTCTTTGTCCCTCTGCGCGSTTCWGAAACCCTCMAACCCTCCATTGRCCAGTCAATGAGCTCTATGGWCCTYACAMAGTGAAAAACTGGCTCCTTGCGCCCCTTTATCRAGCCAACCTTGCTCTATGGGTTCTGGAAGCTTAATCAAGATCAGCGTTTCAGTAATTTACTAGGGATTTTCTTCGTTGCTTTGTCCGGAACCATTTTGCTGATCGGTTTTCCCGAGTTCATTGCTCAGAAACCAGACTCGCTAGGAGCGTGCCTTTTGCGCCCCCTTGTAGAGCAAACCCTGCTCTATAATCTCTGGAAGTTTAAGCGCGATCGGGGGTTTCGGTGATTTTCCAGGAATTTTCTTAGAAACTTCGTTGACTGTGCGGATGCATTTTGCCGACCATTTTCCAAAAATTCATTTCTCAGAAACCAGACCCGCTAGAGCGGGGCTCTTTGCGCCCTTTTATCGAGCAAACCTTGCTCTATAGTTTCTGGAAGCTTAATCAAGATCAGTGGTTTYAGTAATTTTCTGGGAATTTTCTTCGTTGCTTTGTCCGGAACCATTTTRCTGATCGGTTTTCGCGAGTTCATTGCTCAGAAACCAGASYCGYTAGGAKCGTGCCTTTTGCGCCCCCTTGTAGAGCAAACCCTGCTCTATRATCTCTGGAAGTTTTAGCGCGWTCCGGGGTTTCGGTGATTTTCCRGGAATTTTCTTAGAAACTTGKTTGWCTGTGCGGATGCATTTTGYMGACCATTTTTMAAAAATTWATWTYTCAGAAACCAGACCCGCTAGAGCGGTGCTCTTTGCGCCTCTGGATAGAGCAATAGTTCTGCTGATGTTCCAGCCSSCAGRCGATCGCAATGGACAAATACGAGGTGATCGGCACCTTGGGCGAAGGCTCCTTTGGGCGCGTGTACAAGGCGAAGCAGCTGGCGACCCAGACGTTTGTGGCCCTGAAGGTGATTAGCAAGGTGAGTGAGGGGGCTGGCCGGGTGCATTTGGGGGCTGAAGCCCGAGGGTTTTCCAGCGCGGGCGCTCGCCCAAGGAGCTGAAGGGGTTCAGGCGCGAATGCGAGATCCAGAGGGACCTGCACCATCCGAACATCGTCCAGATGCTCGACTCGTTTGAGACTGAGAACGAGGTGAGTGATTGGGGGGCTCGGGCGCCTTCGGGTTGGCCTAAAATTCGTTGGGTTGCAGATGGTGGTGATCACGGAGTTCGCCCCCAAGGAGCTGACGGGGCTCCTGCGCCAGGAGAGCTTCCTGGCGGAGCCCAAAGTGCAGAAAATCGTCTGGGATTTGGTCTCCGCCTTGTACTACCTGCATTCGAATCGGGTGCTCCATCGGTAAGCTGCTACCTTTTTTGGTGCAAAGGATTTTTCGAAAAAATGCGCAGTTTTTGGTTTTTGGTTTTTTTTTGCAAAGTTTTCAAAATTGCCCTCTCAGTTAGTTTTTTGGTTTTTTTACGCTGAAACGAAGCGCGATTTTTTTTAAATTTGGCCCAACAGTGGGAGATCCGAGAAGCCACATTTTTCGAAGAATGG